AAACAAAACAAAACCCTCTTATTCAGTACTTTTGAGCTCAGATTGTCCTCGGTTCACCTTGCCTTTGTAGACAAGAATGCAGTTTCAACGTTGGGGCCTTTATTTTTAGGTTGAGTTAGTGCTTGTCCTACCACAAAGAAGATGAAGAGGATGATCCGGACAGTTCATCTAAAGCGATTTGATTCGTTGTCAAACACGGTTGGCTCGCCACCCAGCCACCTGGACTGGGAATCAATGAGTCTCTCGAAGAACGTTCGGAACGTCTGGATCTGTATCTCTCCAGGACCTCTGCACGATGTTTCCCACTCTTTACCAAAACCTGACCTATAAATAAGGCCAAATCATTTCTTTCAAATTCCATTCAGTGAGTAAGTGAACTGCTACAGGCTTCAACAAAATAAAATGAGATAATATTTCAGTACACCTTTAATAAAATATAAAAATCTCTTTCTTGTTGTACAACAGCTCTTTGTTTTATTTTGTTTTCTTTTTCAAGTATCAAAACTATGTGAATTTCTCTCTAGTATCAAAAGTAAATTTACATAAATTGCATCCTCTCTGCATGTCTTCATAAAGACAATTTAAGATTCATGAAACCGTACGGTAGTAACATTAATGTTTACATGCAATTCCTGTAGTTTTGTTAATCAAATTGCATCACTTTTAAATTAGAGGCATTAAGGCGTTAGTGTGCTTATTTATCCCCCTCTGCACCGGTAACAGTGGAAAGAATGCACTAAAAATTTACCTCTTTAAGCTTCAGTGACCACAATTAAATCCACACTTTTTAACATCACTATTTAACAAACTAACAGTATGAAAAGTTAACATTTCTTCTTTTATAACCCACAACTAAACTTATTGATTTCAAAGACATTAACCAGTATTTCCCTAGCCTATTATGGCTAATTATCTTATTAACATATACACACTGTAGGCTTTACACTTTTAGCTTTACACAAAGAACACCTTTGCATTGATTCACACATTAACACAATTAACAGAAATGCTAGCGATCTCAGAGTAAACTCAGTAGGCTATGTTAAATACAAAAAAAATGGGCATCTAAAGCCTGGCCCGTTAGCATGAATATTAGCGAACTCCGATGCCTAGATAAACAACTCACCATTTTAACGGAATCCATTGCCTTTAGCTCCGTGACAACAGTGGATACAGGCACAGCTTTCGTTTACACTCTATATTACAACAAGGTATAATCAGCATAAGCAATAATGAACTAAATTTGCTCTATGTTTTTTTTCTTTCATCTTACCAAGCAGATAACGCAGCCTTCTATGCTCAAGTGCAAGCGCCAAAAGAACGTGCAGTGACGCGAAACTAGAGGTGTAACTGTAACAGAGCCTAGCGGGCAGCTGATTGGTCAGCTCACTATCTCACAGAGCTCACCCATTGGCTCACTTACATGTCCATCAAAGAGAAGAAATAAAAGTTAACCCTTTTGTGACTGGGTCAGACGGCTAAATAGTGTTTCTCATTATTAAGCCTGGCTACACTCTCCCCCTTGAACTCATGTACGTCCCTGTACATGGCAATGGTTGAACTGTTTGTATCTCAGGGTACAGGACAGAAGGATACGCGTCGTCTTCACCCTCACTTAAAATGTCAGCCACAGCTGTAGTTAACCCCTGAAAAAATGATTTAACAACTGTGACAAAGGGTTTCCGAGCTCAGTATAGTCAAGTCTCTTTGACGGCTGACGGTTTCTTTCTGATCTCCTGACTGTTTTATCCTTTGTTTCCTCATCTGGTTCTTTACTTCCACTACGACTCATCTCCTTTCCACTCTCTAACATGTCAGAGGACACTTGAAGCTGCTCGGTTGGATGTCATCATCAAGTAAGTTTTGTTCCTCCACAGGGTTTTTACTGCCAGGTGAGTTATTTTCGGTCATAACAGTTTCCTCAACTTGTTCATCAAGCATGACTCTTTTGGTAAGCAGGTCCTCAGCGTCGTTGTGGTGACAGTTAGGATCATTAAGTGTGAGGGGACTATCTGAGGCACCATTGGACATGTCAGGTGGTTCGTTAATTTCAGCAGTGCAATCCACATTTTGAGCATTTACAGGACTCTCAACAGGACAATTTCTTGCAGGTTCAGTATGCTGTTTATCCTGCACAGTAGACATAGTTGGATCAGGCTGCACTAGACTGTCATGGATTGTGGGAAACTGAGCATTTGGGGGTTCTCTGAAACAGTAAACAGGAATGATTTCATCTTCATCATCTGAGAGTTGATTCTCATCCACAGTAGGATTTGCCCGGGTTGCTGGCCTGCGCCTTGCGGGCTGCTGGTCAGGCGCCTTGTTGACCTCTGTAGGCAAGTAACCACATGGAAGGAGTAAGTCCCTATGCAGTGTTCTCAAAGGACCATCCTGATTTTCAGGTTTGACTGTATAGACGGGCAGGGTACCTGCTCTCCTCACCACCACATGGACAATTGACTCCCACTTGTCTGAAATCTTATGTTTCCCTCGAATGCGAACGTTTCTGACCAATACTCTGTCTCCAGCTTCCAAGTCCGAAACAGTCACATGCCGGTCATACCTCATTTTGTTCTTGTGTGCTATCTTTGCAGCATTTTCAATTGCTATCTTGTAGCTGTCTTCAAGTCGTGACTTCAGGTTTTGCACATACTCTACGTGTGATGTTTGCTGACCCCCTTGCACTGGCAATCCAAACGCCAAATCAACCGGCAGACGAGGCTGACGTCCAAACATCAGTTCATATGGTGTAAATCCTGTCACCTCATTCCTGGTGCAGTTATAGGCGTGGACCAGGGGTTTTACAAAATCACGCCAACGAGATTTCTCTGGGCTTTCAAGAGTACCTAGCATGCCTAGTAAGGTGCGATTAAATCGCTCAACGGGGTTGCCCCTAGGGTGGTATGGGGTTGTTCTTACTTTGTGTATGCCAGCCACTCGACAGAGTTCCTTTATTGTGCGGGACTCGAAATCACGTCCCTGATCACTGTGTAACTTTTCTGGCATTCCATAGTGAACCATAAAGTTCTCCCACAGACACTTTGCCACTGTGCGGGCCTTTTGGTTAGGTGTTGGTATGGCAACCGCAAACTTAGTAAAGTGATCTGTAATCACTAGTATGTCTTTGGTCCCACTCTTGTCAGGTTCAAGGGAGAGGAAGTCCATACAGAGGAGCTCAAGGGGTCTGGTGGTGTTAATGTTTACCAAAGGTGCAGCTCTCTCAGGCAACGCCTTCCTCCGTACACACCTACCACATGTTTTGACTTTTCTCTCGACATCCAGAGCCATCTTTGGCCAAAAGAATCTGGTCCTTACAAGATCCAGTGTACGGTCAACCCCCATATGACCCATGTGATTGTGTAGGCTGGTCAAAACTGTGTCACGCAGTTCAGCTGGGAGCACAAACTGATAAAAGGTCTGAGAGCCCACTTGGCGCCTCCAGTACAAGATGTTGTTACGAAGTTCAAGGCGATTTAACTCCCTCAACAACAGTGGAAGCTCAGTGAGTTCATGTCGCAAGGTTGGGGGTGGTTTTTCTCCCTGCTCGATCTGGGAAATTACATGCTTTATACTTTGATCAGCTCTTTGTCTACTCGCAAGCTCTGCCACAGTTAGGTGGGGGATAACCGGCAACCCACCAAGGTGATCTTCCTGCCCATAACTGTCAGGCACAGCAGTAGCTGAGATAGCCAGAGATTCAACTAAAGCAACTCCACCTGAAGAATCTTTGCCATCATAGCTGACACTGTAAATGAGCTGTCTCTCACAGATTGCTTGCACAACAGCTTGATCTACTGCATCTATATTTTCTGGATCAGAGAGGTGACTCTGAGTAAACTGTCTTATACGCTCTCTTTCTTTTTGAGATTTACAATCATCAGCCAGTTCCCCATGAGGCCTGCGCGACAGTCCATCTGCATCGCCATTTTGCTTTCCTGGACGATAGAGAAGTTTGAATGAGAACGTGGACAGTGCTGCCAGCCACCTATAGCTTGTCGCATCAAGTTTTGCTGATGTCAGTATGTATGTCAGCGGATTGCTGTCAGTAACAACGGTGAAGTGGTGGCCGTAGAGATAATCACTGAACTTTTCTGTCACTGACCACTTGAGTGCTAAGAATTCCAACTTGTGTGCTGGATAGCGACTCTCACTCCTTGACAATCCTCTGCTTGCATATCCTATGACTCGACACTGACCCTCCTGTTCCTGATACAAAACAGCACCGAGTCCAGTGGTGCTTGCATCGGTGTGGAGTACATAGGGCTTCTGAGGATCAGCAAAACCTAACACAGGGGCGGAGGTAAGGCTCTCAATAACCAGGTCAAATGCCTGCTGGCAAGCGGATGTCCAGCGGCTCCCAAAGACCTCCTTTGGATTTCGGTACTGACCTGCTTTCTCATCTGACTTTAATTTCTTGTGAGAAGGTGGGTAACCAGAGGTTAGATTGTGGAGGGGCTTAACGATGTTAGAGTAGGCCTTAACAAACCTCCTGTAGTACCCAGCAAATCCAAGAAAAGATCTCAGCTCTCGCAGGTTTTTTGGGACTGGCCAAGTCTTAAGAGCAGCAATCTTCTCCGGATCAGTCTCGACTCCATTCCTGGAAACTACATGCCCAAGATAACGGACTGACGTCTGGAAGAAAACACACTTTTCAGGTGATAATTTCAACCCAAACTCTCTAAGGCGTGTGAGCACCTTCATCAGCCTTGCTTCATGCTCCTCTAGAGTCTTTGAGAACACAATCAAATCATCAATAAAGACTAGAACATCCTTTAAATGCATGTCCCCCATGCACTTTTCCATGAGTCGTTGGAATGTACTCGGTGCATTAGTCACTCCCTGAGGCATTCGGTTAAATTCCCAGAACCCAAGTGGACACACGAATGCAGTCTTGGGTTTGTCTGCTTCCTCCACTTCGATCTGGTAATAACCAGACTTTAAATCAAGGACGGAGAACCACTGGGAACCACTGAGCGCTGAGAATGTGTCTTCCAGCTTTGGGAGCGAGTATGCATCTTTTATGGTCTGAAGATTCAGACGCCTGTAGTCTATGCACAACCGGACTTGGCCATTCTTTTTCCTGACCACCACTATCGGTGACGAAAACGGTGACTCTGACTCTCTGATGACTCCTGCATCAAGAAGCTCCTGAATGTGCTTGCGAACAGCTTCAATGTCTTGTGGGTGTATCGGTCTTGCACGCTGTTTAAAAGGAGTTTCATCTGAAAGTTTTATGTTGTGTGCCACTTTATCTGTTCTGCCAAAATCCAAGTCATGTTGTGCAAACACGTCGGGCATGTTGTTGAGCTGCTGAGTGATGCGTTCTCTCCACTTAGATGGAATTGGGGACTCACCGAAATTAAAGTTTAGGTCCTGCCTGTTGTTTGACTGTGCCTCTGGTGACTTTGAGAGGGGTTCTGATTGTTTTACTACACTGTGCTCCTGTAACAAGATGCTCTGGTAAGCACTTATCTCTGCAATCGCACATTTAGCAGGAATGACTATATCATGGTCAGACTCATTGCTGATGACCACTGGTAGCTTATAGGGCGCTGCTGAGGAATGTCGACTAAGCTAGTCGTTACCAGCAAGCCACCCGGCAAGGAGGGTAAAGATGGCTGCTCAATGACTACAAACTTCTCATTCTGCAAGCAATAGGCTACAGCAACTCCCTCAACTACTACAGTTTCACCAGCTGGAATGATTTTAGAACTTCTGCCTTGCAATGTTACTACACTGGGTTGACTGTTGTTGATCTGTTTTTGTCTGAGCTCAAGACATTTAAGAACTGCTTTATAGCCATGTGGAATTGGTTGATGGCGGGTCAATCCGGCTTCAAAGTACATGTCATACAGTACATCCAGTGTATTGGTGCCTATAAGAACAAGAGACTGTGAAGTAGCTTGAATGTCAGGAACAACCAAAGCGAGTGTATTTACATCCATTGACGCTCCAATGAACTCTTTTGGAAAGGTTATAGTCATTTCTATGTAACCCAAGTAGGGTACGGACTGTCCATTCGCTCCTTCCACCTCCAAGAGATTATATAGTGGCTTAATCTCCTGCTCTGGAAAGTGCTGTTCGTAAAATGACCGGGGAACTGTTGTTACTTGGGAACCCGTATCTAGTAAGCAGCTGACTTCTTCACCTTCTATGTTGACTTTAGCAGTACTCTTTGTACCGACCAACCCCTTAGGGAGTCTAAAAGGGTGATTCTTACTTGAATGCTTTAGATTAGCACAAACTTCAGCCTCGTCTTTACTGTTTACGTATGAGGGACGTTGTTGACTCTCTTCAGTCCCTGTTTGTCCCCCAACAGGAACTGCTAGTCGTTTAAAGGTAAGTTGAGACTGTTTTGTGCGTCCCACATGCGCTGCTTCTCCTCTAACTGTTTCTTCTTTTCAGCTACTAAAGCAAGGTTTGCCCTGTCTGTGCAAACTGGGGCAATGTGCCCATCCTCCCCACAGTTAAAGCAGTACCAAGGCCTAGGTCTGTAAGTCTGCTTTTTATTGGCTTGTTTTAGCATGTCTGTGTTAACACTGTCTGGTTTTTGTACTTTGCTTGGACTTTTCCCCGCTGCTCCCCTGTTATCAGCGCCCTTTGTCTTTTTCTGTGCCATCAAATAGGTTAATTGGCTTTGTAAACTGGCTACTTGCCTCCCAAGATCCTCGATAACACTGAGACTGACCTCTGACTTCTCTTTTGGCTCTGCACAGGCCCATGCACTTTGGAGCTGAAGCTGGCCACGTTGCCTGGTGGTGCCCATGTGTTTCTTCATGCGACTAGCTTTTGCTAACTGCCTGTCTTCTTCTGTTCTCAGTAACAGCAAGAGGTCAGCAAATGAAGGGGGGTTGCTTTTCTTCTGCTCAAGTTGCAGGCAGGAAAGTAAAGAATTGTCCCAGCATCCTCTACAAAATTGTTTGAGTAGGTGTTTATCTACATCGGCTGGTGCAGCCCCACCCCTTCTCACAGCTAGGTTCAATGCTAACTGCAATCGCTGGAGATATGTGGATGGTTTCTCACCCGGGTCTTGAAGGGTGTTCATAAACTGGGCAAAAAGTTCTTCCCCATCCTCAACAGTACCAAAGGCTGAGTCCAAAAGCTGCAGATAAGCGATGGGGGGTGAACTAGGCCGCAACCCTTTGACCACATCTGCGGCAGGTGAAAGTAGACATTCAAGAATTTTTCGTGAAATCTGAAGATGGGACATGGTGGGATCGTTCAAAAGCAGTTCGATGTGTGAGCGCCAAGTGTCGTAATCAGCTTCATTACTCGGTCTGGGAATCTTTCCAGAAAAGGAACGAAGCCTCATTGGAGATTGCAAGTGTGGGCTAACATCTTCCCTCCGTACAATATGCTCAACCACCACCTTCTGTATTTCTGCTGGGTTTATGTCACTCACTGAAAGGGACGAAGCTTTGCCTCCATTAGTGAACAGGACTGAATCAGTGGTACTTGGGCAATTGCCTCCCCGTGGGGCATCCATAAGTGAGACGAGGGGTGGTCGACCTTCAGGGGTAGGAAGTTGGAGTGTTGCAACAGGGGTTTCAACATGTGAAGGGGAGACTTCTCTACCTATGGGTTTCATAGCTGCAATATCTTCACCAATCTGTGACATCATCTCATTTAACACCTCCCCATAGTCTTTGCCACTTAGCCTGGCTAAGCCCTTTAACTCAGCTAGATATGTTTTTGTAACATTACCGCCAATCTGCGTAGTGTACACACTGCTTAATGCTCTTACAACATATCTAGCACATGGATCACCTTCGACTGTGTGCGTATATGGGAAAAGTGGCTCTAAGTGTACTAAAGCTGAACCACTCGAAAACTCAATGATCAGGTTTTGGTAAAATTCGGAATTAGAATCATCAACGAGAAGGGCTTTTTCGACGGAACCGTACTTCTTAAGGAAGTCAACAACTTGCTCATCCTGATCTGCTACCTGGGTTACCCCACTAACGATCACTGCATTAGGAATTTTTACACCTGACTTCTGTATGAAATCCATTTTGCATATTCTTTCAATATTGATATTCAATGTCTCTGGCTCCTGGCTGGCTCGCCAATAATGTAACCCTTATTACTAGATAGTAGAAATAATGTACATAGGTTTAATAGTCTAAAATAGCACAGAGGTTATTATGGATACGATGTGGACCAGAATCAGCAGACGCTAGATTTTTAAGAGCCTGAGACTTGAACATCAAATAAAAGAATACCACACCAAAATGACAGTTTAGATAACCTGTATTAAAATCACAGGGTAGAACATACATACAAAAAACACATTTATGAAAAATAACAAACTAAAATAATAAAGTGCGCACATAAACAAAACAAAACCCTCTTATTCAGTACTTTTGAGCTCAGATTGTCCTCGGTTCACCTTGCCTTTGTAGACAAGAATGCAGTTTCAACGTTGGGGCCCTTTATTTTTTTAGGTTGAGTTAGTGCTTGTCCTACCACAAAGAAGATGAAGAGGATGATCCGGACAGTTCATCTAAAGCGATTTGATTCGTTGTCAAACACGGTTGGCTCGCCACCCAGCCACCTGGACTGGGAATCAATGAGTCTCTCGAAGAACGTTCGGAACGTCTGGATCTGTATCTCTCCAGGACCTCTGCACGATGTTTCCCACTCTTTACCAAAACCTGACCTATAAATAAGGCCAAATCATTTCTTTCAAATTCCATTCAGTGAGTAAGTGAACTGCTACAGGCTTCAACAAAATAAAATGAGATAATATTTCAGTACACCTTTAATAAAATATAAAAATCTCTTTCTTGTTGTACAACAGCTCTTTGTTTTATTTTGTTTTCTTTTTCAAGTATCAAAACTATGTGAATTTCTCTCTAGTATCAAAAGTAAATTTACATAAATTGCATCCTCTCTGCATGTCTTCATAAAGACAATTTAAGATTCATGAAACCGTACGGTAGTAACATTAATGTTTACATGCAATTCCTGTAGTTTTGTTAATCAAATTGCATCACTTTTAAATTAGAGGCATTAAGGCGTTAGTGTGCTTATTTATCCCCCTCTGCACCGGTAACAGTGGAAAGAATGCACTAAAAATTTACCTCTTTAAGCTTCAGTGACCACAATTAAATCCACACTTTTTAACATCACTATTTAACAAACTAACAGTATGAAAAGTTAACATTTCTTCTTTTATAACCCACAACTAAACTTATTGATTTCAAAGACATTAACCAGTATTTCCCTAGCCTATTATGGCTAATTATCTTATTAACATATACACACTGTAGGCTTTACACTTTTAGCTTTACACAAAGAACACCTTTGCATTGATTCACACATTAACACAATTAACAGAAATGCTAGCGATCTCAGAGTAAACTCAGTAGGCTATGTTAAATACAAAAAAAATGGGCATCTAAAGCCTGGCCCGTTAGCATGAATATTAGCGAACTCCGATGCCTAGATAAACAACTCACCATTTTAACGGAATCCATTGCCTTTAGCTCCGTGACAACAGTGGATACAGGCACAGCTTTCGTTTACACTCTATATTACAACAAGGTATAATCAGCATAAGCAATAATGAACTAAATTTGCTCTATGTTTTTTGTCTTTCATCTTACCAAGCAGATAACGCAGCCTTCTATGCTCAAGTGCAAGCGCCAAAAGAACGTGCAGTGACGCGAAACTAGAGGTGTAACTGTAACAGAGCCTAGCGGGCAGCTGATTGGTCAGCTCACTATCTCACAGAGCTCACCCATTGGCTCACTTACATGTCCATCAAAGAGAAGAAATAAAAGTTAACCCTTTTGTGACTGGGTCAGACGGCTAAATAGTGTTTCTCATTATTAAGCCTGGCTACATAAGCTTTTTATCCACTGCTTTATTACCGTGCACCAACGAGAGTACTTTGTACCGTGAAGAATCCTTACCTGTCATACTTACTGCTCGAGTCTGGAATTCTGCAGCACCGCCGGGAGGAAGTAGGCTTCAACCCCCTGCTCCATTTTCGTGCATCGACGAGAGTATTTTGAACTGTGAGAAACCCTTGGTTTAATAAAGATTGTTACTCCTTTGAAATTTATCTCTGTCTCCGTGGTCCTCTGTTGTGTGCCTGTGGTGTCGGCTCCTCATGTTGGTGACTCGGTTAGAGGGGGGTGGTTGGTCATCCGAGCGTTCCTCCCCTCGACCTGTGACATTTGCTCCATATGTGTTAAAAGGTGGTATATTGCGCGTTTCATTGTAATCTGACCGGCAGCAAAGAGTTTTCACTCCAGGTTGATAGTAGCACCACGGTAAGCACATACAGGGTGATAACCACGTAGCCTACTGATTATTTAGTCGGCCACTTTTTCTCAAATAAAGCCACTGAAATTCAGCATCAGGTCCTCTATTTTTAAAAAAGATGACTCCTCTGAATGTACTAGGGGAGGTGAGCTCACAGGACCCTACACCTGACCCCATTCTCAATCCCCCCTCCATTCAATAAAATATATCACTTGCACAAGACCTGTCTGTTTCCTCTCAATCTGTGGCAGGAATATGGAAACAAAAGCGAGAATGTTCTACATGTAGTGAAGTCGTGTGACGTCAGTACAATTTGGTAGGTGGCCAATTAGTAATTGCCCATTTGGGGTATATAAACCTTTCATTCAGGCATCTTGGGGTGCGTCATGGTTGAAAGCCCGCCCCTTCCGTTGTAAACACCGACTGAGTGTCCTGCTGCGTTGCTGAGGGTTTGTGCGTGTGGGTTGCTGCTTACTCCCAGTATGATGTGCCTTCAGCGCTTCCATCGTTGTGGCATCGCAATGTAATTGATCGGAGCACCAGCTGTTTCAGTCAACGAGCCTGTTAAATGATTCTCTGGTATATGTTGACGTGTAACTGGATCGTACTCTCTGGTCTTCGTGGACTCTAAAGTGGGCTAATTAAGTGAGCAGTCGCATTAAACGGTGCGCTCTCCCTCTCCGTCACTCTCTCTCTCTCTCTTTGAAGCCACGCTGCTGCTTTCTCCACATCAATACGCTTAAGTCGAGCGTGAGCTGAGGCCCTCCTGGAGCGGGCTGGTTGTCTGTTTTACAGCAGGTTTTGTTCACTGAGAATGTTATTGCAGTTTCATTATTGCCGTGTCACTATCTTTGGCTATTTGCAGTGAATTGGGTGGGTGTAAGAGTGGTTGCCGTGTTTCTTATGGTGGACCTGCTGCTGGCACACTAGCCTGCTCCTGTGCTGAAGCCTCAGTCTCCGACGTTAAGTCAAGTGTGTTATTAATTTTGTAAAAGTGTATTGAGAATCTGGTGAGCTTATAATAAGCCTTGTGGAGGTTTATTGTGAATTTTGTTTTTTTTTGCTTATTTTCTCGACCGTATTTAAGCCAATCATGACCTTTGAACTACTGTTTTTAAAGCACTGTTGATCAACTTTTAACGTCAATAAAACAATTTTTGTACGGAAGCCCATGCCTCTTGCCTTTTCTAGGTGGAACGTATTTGTGTGCTATATTTGTGCTTATTTGCTTATTTTCCCCGTTAACCTGGGGTGGCGTAGTCACTAAAATTGAGCCACTTGCTACATACAGTATCCAGAAGAAGGTAGGAGGAAAAACTGAAAATAATAGAAATAAAAAGGAAGAGGACATTATTTTGTGAATTAGTTTTGGGCATACTGGATTAAAACAATAGGGAAACTGGGTTGTGTGAGCGGTGTAATAGTAGTGAAAAATTAGAACGTGTAATTAAAATTGTTGTAGGTATAAGCAGGTAATGATGTTTCTAAAAGATAGGCTCAGTAAAGAAAAAATAGATTTTTAAATGAAGGAAATTTCAACTGAATTCAGGGCATGTGGGGTATAGAGCAATATTAGCTTTTTTGTTTGTAAAAAACTAGGTTCATTAGAAGGATATGAGTTTAGTTGTTATTACAATTGTATTATTAATAATAATACTGATAATTTATTAATATTATTAATTTTATTATTTATTTATTTCATTAGTAGTGAGTAAAGTAGGCTATTTTGATCCACACTCCATTTCAGAAGGTCGTGGAAATGCACATTAAAAATTTGTTTGCCATCCACCATTAAAATATCAGAAGTTGTTCACCATCTGGTCTTGTTTATTCATAGAGGACTACTTACTTTATCTCAAACATCCATTATCTCCAGCGTCTCGTCTCTCCTGTGTGTCTCCATTCCTGTAAGAAGAACTATTCCAATCATCACTTGCACACTGCTCCCCAGAGTATAATTGTTCAGATTACTTATCCTGTCTCTGCTCTGTGTTGTCAAATAAACTCCTGTTATATCTTCATTAACCATCTCTTGAGTCTGCCTCTGTAACAGTTTTATAATTTAAAAAAAAATATTGGTAACACTTTACAATAATGGTGCACTAATAAGCATTAATTCATGCTTAACTAATGCACAGATAATACTGAATTAATGTGTAACTAATGATTATCTAAGCTATTCATTAATGATTACCACATTAGGAACTAATTAAGAGTCTGTAAGGTTAATGTATTATTTCATACATTAATTGTTATTAATTAAATATGTAATTGTGTATTAATTCCATAATTACTCATTTTTTTAACTAATAGTGTTAATTAATATGTTAATTACCAGAATGAGCCAAAGCCTTGTATTTCAACTTCCAGATAATATGACAGGTACACTAATATGCATTAATACATGATCAATTACTTCATTGTTAGTGCAAATTCATGTGCAAATTACTACAATTACTAAATGACTAGTTAATAATGATGTGCCTCAACAAGTAAAGTCATAAGATAATGATACCTTTGCAAATCATTAGCTAATGATTAATTAAAGCAGACAACTGGAAGTTGAAGTGCATAGCTTTGACTAATTGTGGTAATTAACACACTAATTTACACTGTTAATAAAATATGTTTTTAAGGAATTAATACACAATGACACATTGAATGAATAGCAATTCATGTATTACTTAATCTATTAATCATATAGACTCTTTATTAGTTGCTGATGCAGTAATTATTAATTAATGGTTTAGTTCTTCATTAGCTATACATTAACTCATGATTATCTGTGTATTAGTTAAGCATGAATTAATGCATATTAGTGCACCCGTATTGTAAAGTGTTACCAAAATATTTTTGTTATTATTATTATGTACTCTAATTCTAAAATTGAGGTAGTTTTATTTTATTTATTAAGTAGCTCGTAAATATACTTTATCCGTTGAAACTATTTTAAAGGTTCAGTGAGCGATTTTGAGTAACATTGTTGATATTTGAAAACACCCAAACAAACACCCCTTCCTTCAATGCTCCGCCCCCAAATTAACAAACATGCGATGCAACACAGTAACAGCTGGCGGAACAGACAGCTTGTATGGATGAGCTGCGATAAGTTGTTAACAGTAGCCTATATCTTGGTTCTGAAACAAAGCAAAACCAATGATACTCGCATATCAAGCACAAACATGGCTTTTTAAAGGGGTTCAAAGGGGTAAGTTTCAGAACTGAAAACGTCATTGTTAGTCCAATAAAAGCTTTTATTGACACCAGCCCCAGCAAACAACTTTTTTTAAAAAGTGGGAAACTATGAGGACAAAGAGGATAAAACACCACCCCCACAGAACAAGATCAACTCCTACTTCAACACGGCCGGTTTAGCCCCGCCCACCGATTCGCGCATTACACGCATAGCTAAATAACATAAGCCTACCTCGTGATGACAAACCGGATCCAGCTACTGAGCAACACAGAATATTGTGTAGCGCCTGGTTGTGGAAAAAGACAGTCGCTGCATATGCTTCCTCTGGATTCCAATAGGACTGCATGGATAAACTTTATTTTTAATGACGTTCCAGTTGATCCTTATCTGTTCGCTTCATTTCACTAAAGGAATTTGTAAACAAGACTGGATTTGCAGACCGATTAAGAGTAAAGAACGGTGCTGTGCCATCTATATTGGATCTGACAGGAATGGTGCAACACACAGACTCTGGTTTGAACATGTATGGGTGAATCATTCCGGTTGCCATTTTACACCAACGAGGTGAGTTGGTTGAAACTCATTATAATATGCAAAACTGTTCTCCACTCACAGCAGTGGGCGTCTACTTCCAAGTCTTCAGTGCGATAGCCCATAACAAACCGAGTGTTTATCAGATAGGCTCAAAACTTGGGTACAAAATAGCCTATTACTTATTCATTTTGATGTTTTTGAATGCAAAAACAAAGCGAATGTCATAAGTTGACCTCAGACAACAATATAATAAAATTTTAAAAGCCAGTTCATGACCCCTTTAAAGCTTTTCTAATAAAGCTAGAGGTTTATAATAAAGTTTAGAGGTCTAGGTCTAGGAGTCTGATCGTAAACTTTTTTTCCAATTATATTCCGCTCTGACCATTTTCTATTTGGAAATATCTCAGCTATCTAATTTTCTAGTCTTTCTGCAAATGTTCTATTTGTTCACTCGCTCTCCTCCCACATCACCAGTCTATAAGCCTGGGTGTTCTATGGATTGGTGAGATCCACATTATTTTCTCCTATTTACACAGCCAGAAATATTTACAAACACATATTTGTCAGCACACACAAAACAGACATCTAGCAAATATTGGTTTAGGTGTTGTTTAAATACAAGTAAGTTAAAATAAACTTTTAACAGTGTTTCTCAGAAATTGCTTACAAATTAATAATAATAAATAATT